ATAGATAGATAGATAGATAGATAGATAGATAGATAGATAGATAGATAGATAGATAGATAGATAGATAGATAGATAGATAGATAGATAGATAGATAGATAGATAGATAGATAGATAGATAGATAGATAGATAGATAGATAGATAGATAGATAGATAGATAGATAGATAGATAGATAGATAGATAGATAGATAGATAGATAGATAGATAGATAGATAGATAGATAGATAGATAGATAGATAGATAGATAGATAGATAGATAGATAGATAGATAGATAGATAGATAGATAGATAGATAGATAGATAGATAGATAGATAGATAGATAGATAGATAGATAGATAGATAGATAGATAGATAGATAGATAGATAGATAGATAGATAGATAGATAGATAGATAGATAGATAGACAGACAGACAGACAGACAGACAGACAGATAGATAGATAGATAGTTTATATACAAGTTCATGCACTGTGCAACCACTGAAATTTGATGTTTCATTTAAAGTCCTAAATGTCTTTCCACCCCAAGAGATGTTTTCTGGTTGGAGGATAATGCTAACATTTCAGATTCTGTAAACCACAGAGATGACAGTTTTATTCATTGGCATTCAAACTCACACTTTCTCTTACATAAAAAATTGGAGGATTGAATGTCTCTTCGAGATTTGCAACCAAGTATTATGCAGTTGCATTATGATACTCTGCAACTAATCAGAAAATGAACAGCAGTCAAGAGACACTAACACTAACCTGCTCATCAGCACAAAGTACATCAAAACATCAAAATGAATACGACAATGCCAAATCAAGAGAAGTGTCAGCTCATTATCAGGTGGGATTTAAAGTGAAGGAGCAGAGTAGCCTGTTGCTATATCTTTTCCAATCTTCTCTGTTTCTGCACTGCAATCATAAGACTTCAGGCACGCAGTCATGAGAGTTGAATTTGTACATTATACACAATAACAACCCTGGCTGTAAAATCTTTTATTTTAATTTCAGTGTTAGCAATTTTGTAATGTGCTTTTGGCATTTTTCTATTTAGTGTTAAGTTATTTTTTAATCAGTTTTAGGTCTATTAAAATAAGTACATCAGCTTATACTTACTTATTTAAATGTTGCCCATGCAAAATTTCCATCAAAAATCAAAAGGCTTTTCCATCTAATTTTAATTTTTTTCATCTTTATTTCAATTTACAATGTTTTAAATAGTTTTAGTTTTAATTTTAGTTAATAACAGCACTGATCTAGCAGGTGGAAGATTGGACTGTTTGAAAGTATCCTTCAATCACTGATGATGACTTTTTTCTTAAAGGGACAGTTCACCCAAAAATGTATATACTGTCATCATTTCTGTCCATTATTTTGCTCCAAATATGTATGACTTTCTTTATACTGTGGAACACACAAGAAGTCATTCTGAAAAAGTGTTTTTATGTCCACACAATCAAATTCAATGGAGTCTGATGTTGTTTTGGACTTTCGATGTATAGACAAAAACAGTTGAGACATGTTTAGAAAGACCCAGAAAGCTAAAACATAAATGCAAATCTTTCTTGAAATTCTTATCATTCAGTTATAATTACTGCTCCTTCCCATATCTTGGCTGCTACTTTGCATGACTAATGGGATTGAGGAAGGTTGATTAGGAAAAGCTCTTCCAGCTTTATCCCAGGCCTCAGCATCTGACCTTCTTTCATTAAGGGGTTAATACATTGGTCATCCACAGCAAGCCCCTGTGATGACTGCCTTTGATTTCCACTCTTTGAGGACACGAGTGTGGAAGGGCCTACAGGGTCGCACACAAGGACCTATCCGGCCCCTGTGTAATGAGTAATGATGCTGAAATTTCAGCTTTGCATCACAGGAATAAATTACACATTAAATTGTATTAAAACACAAAAGCTTTTGTAAATTGTAATAATAATAATTCACAATACTATACTTTTTTTACCGTATTTCTGATCAGTTAAATGCAGCCTTGTAGTACAAGAGACTTCAATAAAAACATTTAAAAATAAATAATAATAAAATATAAAAAATGTTTCAAAAAATGTATTTAAAATGTAAAAATTACTGACCCCAAACTTTTGCAGTAGCATATAACAAATCACCAATAATTCATAGGGTTAGAGCACACAGACCCTACAGTTTTCACAAAGTTTAAAGGTGTAAGGTTCACCACTAATGCTCGTAACAAGAAGCAAGCAAACACTTAAATGGGCATTTCCAAAATCCCCCCCATAACTAAAAACAGCAACAAGTAGCTGATGGGCTGTTTTTTCCTGGCATCCATGCAAACAAACTCAGAGTTGAACACATTCTCAAGCGGATTTCCTGCATGAGGGGCAAGGAAGTCTTCTTTCAGATCATAGCCATATCATGCTGAACTGGCCTTCAACCAGCTCAGAACAGCAGGATGAAGGAGCTGATAGCTGGCTCAGTGGAAAGTGAGGGACATGGAGAATACAGGATGAGAGGATGAGATTTTTTTTGTATATTTTATAGCAGTAATGCACAATTTGTCAGCATGGTTGAGAAAGGTCTTGTTTTTTCAATATAATGAGGAGGTGTATTAATATAACAGAAAGAAATGAGAAGAACAATTTGTAGTCAATATAAGCAGCCTTTTGATTTTAAAAAGGTGAATTTTAAGTCTATTTATTAAAGGAACACAAGGCTCATTTTCCAACTGCCCTGGAGTTAAACAGTTGAGTTTTACCGTTTTCGAATCCATTCAGCCGATCTCCGGGTCTGGCGGTAGCACTTTTAGCTGTAACTTAGCATAGATCATTGAATCTGATTAGACCGTTAGCATCTCGCTCAAAAATTACCAAAGAGTTTTGATATTTTTCATATTTAAAACTTGACTCTTCTGTAGTTACATCGTGTACTAAGACCGACGGAAAATTAAAAGTTGCGATTTTCTAGGCCGATATGGCTAGGAACTATACGATATGGCTAGTAAATATACATGATATTACGCAGAGCCTGAAAATAGGCTAACTTCCGCCAACATAACCAACGTGACCACCTGCTTGCACAGGGTGCGTGCTGGGGACTATTTTCAGGCGCTGCGTAATATATACATGATAGATTTAAAGTATGCATTTAAGATCAAATAAATTTTAGAATTCATATATTTTAGATTTTATTTACTGTAGAAAATCGTAACAACAGGGTTGACTATTCAAGATTGTCCCCTACTTGAAGGGTTCACATGCTGAAATGGTGATGATGTAATTATGATGTCAGTATGTTTTTTTAAGGAATTGTACATCTTTTCCATAAAGAGGAGTTATGATGCTAACAAAATTGGCACATATTATTTGGCACAGACATATATATATTAGTGCTGTCAAACGATTAATCGCGATTAATCGTTAAATTAATATAAATATTGACATGTAAATACATGTAAATATTTTCAAAATATATAGGCCTACGGTATGTGTGTGTATTTATATATACATAATAAATATACTCAGAACACATATATTATGCAAACAAAAACTTTTATTTTGGATGTGATTAATCGTTTGACAGCACTAATATATATATATATATATATATATACTAAACTATATAAAAATGGTTATAATTGTAAATGCTAATAAGGCATAGTAATTAATGAAATAATTATTTACACTTATGTTCATAAGGGAAACAAAAAGCCATCCTTTTCGTGAAATTACCCTAGTCTGACACAGATGACATGTTTTCATTCATCCATTAAGATATTAAGCATCTATTGCATCACTAACAGAACTGTGCAACTGTGTATTGATAAGGTTTACTTTTTATCCAAAAAAATATGATTGTGTACAGAGGCGTCGTGCGCATTCAAAGTGAGGGGGGCACGTGCCCCCTCAGATTTCTGAGCCAAGTGGATTTTGAATGCAGCATCCAAAAGACAAAAAAATAGCTGAATTATTTTTTTATTTTTTTTTATTTGATATAATCCCACCAGCGTGATTAGATCGTTCAGTGCGTCATAGCGTCATATCATCAGCTGCTAAATTCAAATCTGCGTTCGCTGGCTGGCGCTGACCCAGACAGACGCGTTTGTACAGTGCTGCATTATAACCAATCACACACGATTCTGTTGAGCTTATGAATGCAATGACCAATCAGAGACGTTCAGATGAGTCATCGCTGAAACGAGGTGTTTTGTTCACTTGCTCGCTGACTGAATTATCCGGCGAATTATCTCATCAGAAACAACAAAGTGCAGATGTGCGTACGAATGTAAGTAAGATATTCGTTTCACAATGTAAACAGCTTCAGTGATTTTAATGGGAGTTTTTGAGAGTGCCTGAACTCTAGCTAGACTGAATGAAAATGTTCTTTGATAATGTATGTTCTTTGCTCTCTGTTAAATGAAAGTGTTATAATTAGTAACTTATAATATTGTTATTAAATAAATTCACATTAAATACAAAGTCAGTCGTATTAAACATATTTTATGGCATGACAGCCATATCTGCTGCTTAAGTAAAAAGTCGGGTTTTTAGGCTATGTGTAGTTAATAGATTACACTATTAGTCTAGTTTGCCCATCACCATTTATTGATCAAATAACATAATCTATAAAGGTGCAAAACGCATTTACTTACACATATTTGAGAATCGAGAGATTTCCAGATATAGGCTAGTTAACACGTTTGGAAATATTTCGAACAAAAAGACAAAATAAATAAATAAAACATAAGCCTATATCAGTTATACAGTGCTATTGTGGCTGCTGTGTGTCACATTGTCATGTGGCATGACCCCCCGCCCCCACGTGCCCCCCATAGACTGTATAGTGCCCCCTCAAAAATCATGAGTGCATGACGCTCCTGATTGTGTAATAACATCAGATTCACCTGCACAGGTACACAGGAAAGGTGTGATTGCCTTTCTTTAGCAGTCTAATGATAAAAAGCTAAAATAATCCATTATTACTTATTTCGAAGACGATAACTGTAAGGCTAGTTTCGTATGAAAAACAAATCTTACTTACAAGTGGAATCGGTGATCTCCATGTCGAAAAGAATAGTTTTCTTGAGTAGCCTACTCCGTAACAGACTTCAGCAGCCCCTCACTGTAATGTACACTAGCATCTTGTGCACCGCGCGTGTGGCCAACACTACACTTTTGACAGGGGCGCGTGCAGACCACTCCACATCTCTGCTCATCCGGGTCCTAGTGCTCGTCAGGTAGTATAAGTTCCTAGCGTAAAACAACGTCATCCTGCTGGTCTGTTTAACCTTCTGATGCGTGAATTATCATTTATACCAAAACAGTGTATTTGGTTAGAGTTACTCATCGGTTCACTGTAAGGCCGCAGTAAATATGCCTACATGGCGTATCAGCATTTGCATTTGAATTTATCCTGTCATTAAAAAAATAAATAAATATATATATATATATATATATATATATATACACAGTATATATGTATATAAAGAAGATATAGTCCACACATCAGAGAGGCAGTCGAATCACACTTATGGGTCGAGGTCAAAGGTAATCATTCAAGATGGTTTGATTTAACAGTTTATGATTAAACATCAACATGATTTTTGATGTTAAAGTTTGGCACCCTCCAGAGGTAGAGGAATTACAAGGTCTTTATACAGTTATGAAATATCAAATCATGTAATTGGCACTAAATATACACGAGAAAAACGAATATTTTCATAAAAAGGAAAATGCAGCACAGATAGTGATATCTAGCCTACCTAATATTAGGCCTTTCTAATTTACAATAGTAGAAAGTTTTGCAAAAAATAAAATAAAATAATGCTTTTTGGCTTTAATTCTTTTTTTTTTTTTTGTGATTGATCATAACCCAAAATGTGCCACATAGCAAAATAATGGGGAATAATTTATATTTCATTAAAATTAAAGTTTCTGAATACAAGTTTATGGCACGGTTTTAATAGTCAATTAAAACTAAAACTACAACCACAAAACATGTTTGTTACTTACATTAAATAAAATAAACCAAACCTTAAACTTATTTTATTTTAAACAATTTGTTGTACTATAACTAAAGCTAAAACTAAAATGAAAACTATATACTAATACTAGACATAAAAAAATACAACTAATAAAAATAAATAAAAGTAATAAAAATAAATGAGCTATTCAAATGTCAAAACATACAACAAAATGACTAAAATTATAATAAAACAGACTTAAAAATAAAACTTAATTCAAAAGAGTAGGCTAATACAAGGGATAGTAAGCTATAAAATAACACTGGTTTATGTTCTTCTATGCATTATTTTGGTACGTTTGCATGTTTTAAAGCAGGTCGTTTAATCTAATTATTGGTTTAATAGTCATATAATTACTAAGCATTTTCTGCTCATCACGATTAGGCCTGCCACAACACTGAAATCAACAAATATGCTAAATAGATTGTGCTAATAATGTTTTAATGGTTTAAAAAAAAAATGACAATCTGAGAAGAAAAAAAAAAAACATTTGTGGTCTTTCCAATCCACACCTTTCCAGCCTCTCCTCCAGTTAAGAATTTTTTTGGAACCCTGAAGAGCCCACCCCCTTCGCGGTCTTCTAAAATCTTATAGGTCAATTACCTGTCAGTCATCAGAAAACAGAACGCCTATTGGCTAGCTAGGCAAAAAAATTAGGTGCTTTATAAAATACGTCTCCCAAACTGCTGCACATATCATCGCATCCGGGGTGCGGGAAGCGCAGGATTTCCTGGTTCTGTTGCTCAACTGGACACATCCAAGTTTTAGATTCGCAGAGGTACCTAGCTCATTTTAACATCCATCGATTTAATGTCTTAATCAAAACCTTCTCATCTGTACGTGCCCTAGACTACACCTTGCCGTAGTTAGTCTGAAGTAAGTCATTAAAGATGTCCGAAGCCACAGTGGCCGATACTCGTCGGTTAAACTCTAAACCGCAGGACCTGACGGACGCCTACGGCCCTCCCAGCAACTTTCTGGAAATCGACGTGTACGACCCCCAGACTATAGGAGTCGGCCGCAATCGCTTCACCACTTACGAAGTCCGGATGAGGGTAGGCTGGCCCAGTGAATGAATGTGATTGTGTGTTTGTGTCAGAGAGTCTGCGGCTCGGTTCGGCCTAGCTAACGTTAGCCTGCGAGCTAATGCTAACTAACACCTCACTCGACGTGAAAGAATCGTATCCTTCGGAAAGCTTCTAAAGAGGGGACTTTATTGTATTAACTGTTAGGTTTTTGGTCTAAAATCGGTTTTCTATGTGGGCAAGTTGGGTTAGAGCAGTTTTGGCGGAGAGAGATTGAGCTAATTTAGCTGTTGTTGTTACTCTGTCAACCATCAACAACTTCTAGCCAGTTGCATCTAAGCCATTAAGATAAACATTTGGATGCGTTACTGTTCCAAATGCATAATTTTGTTGTTTTAATAATACCTGTAAATTTGTGTTAGATGAATTCGAGAACATTCTGCATCGTGTACACCGCTAAGATATGTAGACATTATTTAATAATCATGTGACTTATTCTGCTTTCTCCGGTGAAATCTAGACAAATCTTCCCATTTTTAAACTGAAGGAGTCGTGTGTTAGACGAAGATACAGCGACTTCGAGTGGCTGAAGAATGAGCTGGAAAGAGACAGCAAGGTATCACATCCTGGAGACCTTGCGGGAAACATCTTGTCATAAAATACTCGTATTGAACATATGGTTGTCTTTACATGTCCTTACAGAAAAATGTTTTACTTATTAAAAAACGGTTGGTTGTACGAAACACTGTAAAGCCTGACATCTGAACTAATAGTCAAAGAATGTGTATTTTTAGCAATAGGACTGCTTGTTCAACCTTTAGCTAAAATATATTAAAAATTCAAATGCGTCGTTTTGTTTTTTTGTATCATATTTGATACATCAGGCTTTTTTGGCCTATGGTCTGGTATAGTGAGAATATGGAGCTCAGACTAAAAGAAGAAAAAACACCTCAGTCAAACAGTAAAAATATGCAATTTAGTGCAGTTATTGGTATTTATATGGGGGAAAAAATCATTTTAAAGGTATCTATAGTAATTTATTTTATGTAAATCATTGAGATTTTTAAAACAATATAGCAGACGTACATGAAATGCATATGCATACGCATGATCTCTTGTCAGTCTATATATCCCAATAATATGTCTTAGTAAGATTACATTTAAATGCTTAGTTTTATGATAAAAGTTTTGTCGTTTTTATTGTGGGGGGCAAAATATAATCAAATGCAATGGAAAGATGTTTGAGAGATTGACAAACTTTTCTCAAAAGCCTGATGCAATTTTTATATTTACATTTATAGAATTATCCTAATAAACGTACTGAACAAGTATAATCTATCAGTCAAGTGACAGAAGGCATGTAGTAGATTGTGCGCAACAGGCTTTTCAAGTTTTTATCATGTTGATAATTTAGAAGCCTTAGAAATTCATATATCAAATATGATGCAGTATGCTTTATAGGGTTAAAATCGTTTTTAAAATGTGTGAAAATATTTCCTAGATTGTTGTGCCTCCATTGCCTGGAAAGGCATTGAAGAGACAGCTTCCCTTCCGTGGAGATGAGGGCATTTTTGAGGAGTCCTTCATTGAGGAGAGACGAGCTGGGCTTGAACAGTTCATCAACAGGTTAGCCATCGAAATGATACCTGAGGGACACTTGTAAATTATAAATGAAATGCAAGACAATCAAGCAAATGCTTAATGTGTGAGGGCCTGAAATGATTACACAAATATATTGTGAATTATGTTTTCAGATTTCATGGATTGTTTCTCATATTCCTTTACAGAATTGCAGGTCATCCTTTGGCCCAGAACGAACGCTGTCTTCACATGTTCCTGCAGGAAGAAAGTATTGACCGGAACTACATTCCTGGAAAAGTACGGCAGTAGGGTTTTCCAAACTGGGACAAGGGAGGGTCTTCTTTCTTCGCTTGTCAGCTTCTGTTCCCATTCATCTGCATACAAAGTGCAGAGTAATATTTATTTTTACACCGAGCAAAATCGAGATACCTGATGAACCGTGCAGGACTTGGTTTTATTTAACAGATCATGTTTTGTACATGTGTCTTGAGAGTTTCTCTTTACACACACATTGTATTTCTTTATTATCTATACAGTGTACTTGTTAGTGTGTGTGTATTATATAACTATACATTAAGCTGTAGCACTGTAAAGCAAAGAGGGTTGGCTCATATCTTTGTCCTCTCTGGCGTCTGTTGAAAGAACATGTGCTTTTCGAGTTCAAGAGTTGAGGTGTATTGCATGTTATTCCAAACAGCGCAAATGCTTAAAACATTTAGGGAGCAATGAAGAGCTGGTTTTGCAGCAGATTAGAAAAATGGTCATAAATGTAAAGCATTACACTGTTCGACTAAGAAGCAAGCTGAAAAAATGTTCTGGGCTGTGTTTCAGGCATATATTTGGAAAATGTACTCGTTTTTGTAGTCATGTGACCATAGGCAAGACTGTACAATTCTAGCCAGTATTCATAATCACAAACTCAACTTGTATATAATGTTGCCTGTTGCTCCCTTAACTATTGAAGCTTGTTTCCTCCAAAATAAAAAAGGTAATTGCAACTTTTTAATCACATAATTCAGATCTTTTTTTCCCCCTGCAATTCTGAGTTTATATCATAATTTCTCACCTTTTGTGATTCTGAGAAAAAAAAAGTCATAATTTTGAGATAAACTCAGAATTGCAGGATCTTAACTTACATTTCAGAGAAAAAAGGGTTTGTGAGAGGGAAAAAGTCACAATTACCTTTTTTATTTGTAAACTCACAAAGTTGAAATTGTGAGATTTTGTTACCTCCAGTTACCTGTATTTTTTTTTATTTTTTTTTATTTATTTATTTTTTTGCTGGCAGAAACAAGCTTCCATACATAACTGTCCAATACATAATTTGAATACAATTTTAAAGTATCATCTTACAAAAATATGAATGTTGCATTTCAATCTGATTAACGCACATACTGGATTATGAAGAGATTAGAACCTTTTAGTTCCAGTTTTATGTGAAAAGATATGGTTCTGGGATTATGTTGGAAGATTCATGCTAATCTGTGTTAGCAAACAAACAACTTTCAAAAATAAAGTATATATCAGGCCCGTTTAGTATGAATTACCCAATAATAGGCATTGAGTAGTTGGAAGGTATGTTCTAAAAACTGATATTAGGGTTGAAATTATATTAATATTAATATTAGGTGCTGTAATGTCCTTTTGTCAACCACTATGGAGTTTTCCAAAGTAATTAATAAACAAATGTACCTATTTTTGGTATGAAATAAGTGCGCAAGACCTGCGTTGTATGTGCGTCCAAGTTAAACTCTAGGAGTCGACAGTGCGAAAGATCCAAAAACAGCTCTTTAGAAGGACAAAATATGTGCCAACTGTTTAAAGGTTGTCCTGCCAAAGTTCAGTCATTTTCCTCAGAATGACTCTATATTTATGTTATCTCCTGTGTTCATCGATTTGTGCCTGTGACGTTTGTCTGTAAATAAAGTAAAACAAAATAGAGCACCGGATGGAGATTTTATAATATCAGAACTTTTTTCCTTATTCTGTTTATTCTCTCTTCCATTTTAGGTGTGAATGACGTAAGTTTTGTTTTTTTACTCTCAGTATGTTGTAACTGATGTGGGGAAACGATGTCTGCATGAATGCTAATAATTCAAATCAATTATATGGGGGTAAATGCCGTCTCATGGTCATACTTACAAAACTAATTTTAATGTTGTCTTACATCCTGTTGCTTTGCTAATTTTTATTTTGCATCTGCTTGTCATGACCCTTACAGTCAACGTGTATTTGTAAAATTACTGCCGGCTGCATGTCCTGATTTGCATGCTTCATGTTGTATCTTTTTTTTTTTTTAAGGAATAGTTCACCCAAAAATGAAAATTAGCTGAAAATGTTCTCTCCGTCCGGCCATCCAAGATGTAGACGAGTTTGTTTCTTCATCGGAAAAGATTTGGAGAAACTTAGCATTACATCCCTTGCTCACCAACGGATCCTCTGTAGTGAATGGGTGCCGTCAGAAGTCCAAACAGTTGATAAAAACATCACAATAATCCACAAGTAATCAACATGACTCCAGTCCATCAGTTAATGTCTTGTGAAGTAAAAAGCTGCATGTTTGTAAGAAACAAATGTAGCATGAGGACGTTCTTAACTTCAAACCGTTGCTTCCGGCTGAAGTTCTCTATGCATAATATTGCTTTTTCCAGTGAAAAGCTTGTCTTGTCTGAACCATGAGAGAAATATGCACATATCAAGCACTGTTCACAAGGCAAAATAGCTCTAAACAAATACGTCAGTGGATTTTGATGTGAGGACAACAGAGGATGGACTTTTTCACTGGATTAAGTGTCATGGATTATGGACTTGTATTGGCCAGAAGCAATGATTTTAAGATAAAACACCTTAATGACGGATTATTTACTTACACACTCACACACACTGCTTTTCACTAAACGAGATGTTCATTGATGGACTGGAGTCATGTGGATTACTTGTAGATCATTGTGCTGTTTTTATCAGCTGTTTGGACTCTCATTCTGACGGCACCCATTCACTGCAGAGGATCCATTGGTGAGCAAGTTATGCTAAATTTCTTCAAATCTGTTACAATTAAGAAATAAACTCATCTACATCTTGGGTGGCCTGTGGGTGAGTACATTTCAGCATTTCTCATTTTTTTTTATTTTTGGGTGAACTTGCTTAATGGAGTAGTTAATTTCACACGATACTCAGATTGTTGTTATCACTATCCAATCAAGTTTCCCCCCCTAAACTAAAATGTAATAATGGAGGCAGCATAGTTTGCCCTGAGTGCATTAGTACTGTCAAGATTTCTAACCGTTTTGTTTCATGTCTCCTGGCCTGTGATCCAAAGGTTTTGGTAAACCCCCCTCCTCGTCCTGGACCCATCTGCTCTACCAGCTCTTTTCTGCACATCAGTCAAAGCCTTTCACAGCTGCTGTCCATGATATTCTGTATATATTTCTATTCTCTAATAGAACTACAACACCTGTTTCACCCTGAGGATGAACTCATCTTAATGCTGTATTTATACCTCATGCATTCTTTTTGTGGAAAGACACATTCTTTTTTGCTGATCTTTAAGCAAATATTCCTTTCTCTAAAAACAGTGCTTTCTGTGTTTATTCTGGTTAAAACTCCTGGCTTAAATCCTTTCAGCCAAAAATGTATATGTATATTATAGAGAGAATTTGATCAGGCCGCATGACATTCCTCAGTGTATTTTTAATTTCAAGTTTAAGTCTTAGATTTAAAGTAACATGCTTCCCCTAGTGAAAAATAAATATAATTAAATGTATTTGAAATACATTTATTGCATGCTAAGTAAACTACAAAAACATTTACATATTTAGAAACGTAATAATACCCTGCAGTTGCACCTTTAGTATAATAAAGTCTGCTCAATTGGAACAACTAATTTTGTACTAACGCACTTTAACTGTGTGGAAGTAGTCCTGAAGTCTAACTGAAGATATACTTAAGTAGGCCTATATTTGATTGTGCTCAAGTAGAACTATTGCAAGTATACTTTAGGTACACAATATCTTGGATTTAAAGAACGATATTATTCAAAGATCATACAATCCGCATCAATAGTGACAATAAAACACATTTTCGGCTTAATATGAAATGTGTGTTGTGCACAAGTAGTACTCCAAATAAAGTTTAATTAAAATTTTTATATCAGTAAGTCTTAAGCGATGTGTGTAAATATGTTAATAGATTTGAACTATACTTAGTATGAAATAAATACATTTTACTAGGGTCAAGAAAAGCGATATCATCTAAAAACAAATTAACGAGGTCACAAAAACCCAGAGAACAGTTTTTATCAAGATGACACCAACTGACCAAATGTAGCACTTCAGAAGCTAAAATTGTCTTCCTTTACGTTCCATATTTCATTTGTATCTATTTGACTTTGGATATGTTTAAAACAAGGCTTTTGCAACCATGTTTAAATGTATTTTCGTTTGTTTAGTGTCCGTGTATAAGTAAAGCTTCGGGAATGTACATATTCAATCACTGTGAAAAACTGAATTCCATTATGACAAAATGTGTCACATTTGCTCTTATGTTTCTATATGCCATCTCTTAGAATGAGTTCTGTTCTTTTCTGGCTCTTTCTATTCTGGTTATTTTCAGGACTGTGTGTAAAGAAAAGGGCACTCGTTGATTTTTAAACAGATAGCCATTCTTTCTACCCATTAATAAACCCTCTCCGTCTCCTTCGATGTATTTTCTCATTTTGTTCTATGAAACCATACATTAAATAGTTAAGCGAATTATATAGTTTGGAATAATATATGTCCACACGTCAACGATTTTCTATTTTATTAGTCTATGTAATTCATCAATCCCTGACAAAGAAGGCTGTTTTCTTGAATGTAGCCACGAGGTGGCAGCGCTGCAGGAACTGTTCGTCATTTCATGCAAAGAAACTTGCAAGTTAACCCTAGTGGGGGTTAGTTAATACACAATAAACGCTCCGTTTTTATATATAATATTATATTATAGGCCTACTGGTCAAAATTGTGGAATAATTAGGCATCATTAGGCTACTCCAATGTCTGAAGACCAATGTCTGTTAAATATTTCTCTGGAAACGGTTAGCTATACATTTTTTCAGGATACTTGCATGAATAGAAAGGTCACGAACAGCATTTATTTCCACAACAATATTAAGCAGCAAAAGCCGTTTTCAACGTTGATTTTCCTAAGAAATTCTTGAGCAGCAAATCATCTTATTGGAATGATTTTTGAAGGATCATGTGACACTGAAGACTAATGGCTTTGTCATCACAGGAATAAATTACATTTTAAAATATATTAAAATAGAAAACATTTTAAATTGTAAAAACTTTTCACAATATTACTGTTTTTATACTGTTTTTCTTTAATTTATTTTAAAATGTCAGCCTTTGTAAGCATAAGATTTTCCCCCAACTAAAACATCTTCATTAATCCAAACTTCTGACTGGTAGTGTAAATTGTATATTAGTGGGCTAATGAACTACAAAATCACAAATCTGGGTGTGCCCAGTTTATTTTAAGACCATTTTATTGAATACAACTGTGTTTTCAGGCCACTTGCCCTTGTGTGAAGTGCTCTGGATTAAACATGGGGGAGGGAAAGCGTTGGCGGGCAGGTCAAGTCTACCTGAATGAGCCTGTCGTGTAAACTGTGTAAACGCTGCTTGGATATGGATAAACTGACACCATTACTTCTTACAACCAAGAAGAGGACTGTTAATAGGATTAATATGTTCCTCATTTAGATCCCGGATACTTTTGGATATACTATTAGTCGAGTCTAATCGGCAGTGTGCGAGTCACATGGACAAACCAGCTCAAAGGTGATTTTATTTTCACTGTATACATTTGATTATTTTCATGTGTTTCCACAAATGCTTTATTTAAAGTCGTTTTGTTCACAAGGTGTAAAAAGAGGGCTTGCGCTTATCACCCATTCTCACAAACATTACAGAGAAGAATAGGGATAAATATTCATTAAGTAACACTTGCCATTCACTTTAAAAGACTCCATCTGACTAGCGGCAGTTAGACTGTAAATGAGTTTGCGCATAACGCATGATTGCAACATTACTCTGTGAAGTGGAAGCTAAATGGGATATTTTTGATGCCTACACAAACTGACACAACATATCCACCGATGTCAAAGACCACAAGGCTTTCTTTGATGCACAGACTTTAACCCTATGAAAACATGCTAAAAGGAGCAGCCAAATGGACAGACGTTAGATTACATGTGCTTTGTTAAGTCCGAAACTTCAGTGCATGGATGAGATCACAGAATGCAAGGCTGTGACCTGGTTTCCACTGTTTTATGATGTTTCAATCAACTTGACGGGATGGAAAAAGATTAAACAAGAATTGAGGATATGCACCACACTTTTTGTCTGGACAGGAACCAACAAAACTGTACCCTCCTAAAAATGAAGTTTCTTTATTGCGATTGATGGTACCATGAAAAAGCTTTATGTTATTTGATTGTTATAGTGGAGGAAGGTTCTTTAGATTAATAAAATGTTAATTACACTAAGAAAAAATTGGTTCTTTTAGCAACTGTTTACCTAAACATTATTTGAAAAACCTACAATTAAAAATAAAGGTTCCAAAAAGGGGTTTTTGCAGTGATGCCTTATTAGAATTATTTTTGGTTCCTCAAAGAACCTTTCAGTAAACGGTTCTTAAAGGGGTCATATGATGCGATTTCAAGTTTTCCTTTCTCTTTGGAGTGTTACAAGCTGTTTGTG